GATTCGCTCCAGGAGATGCTTAAACAGGAGTTAGTCACATGCATCTTGAATTGCATAATAAGTATACAAGGTTGCAAAATTAATTCATCTGTTTTTGTCGTTCATTATGCACACTGTGTGCATATATTGACTTTGACTGAAGGAGTCAACGATTGAAGAAGCTCAGCAGAAACCATGCTGATGCAAGGCACCATGGGATTGATTGCCTCGATGTACTGGATGCTGTTTGGAAGATCATTGAAATTCCCTTGCATGTCCATTTATTTTATATTTTGGCTAATTTGATTACGTTTTCAGCTCTGTTTGACCACATGCAAATTCATTCAGCAGAATTATGTTGATTTTCTCTCACATTTAGTGCTGCAAAGTGAATTAATAGACTCTGTGTGTGGCTGCTGATGAGCAATTCCATTGATTTGTTCTTCCAGACAGAACCGTGTGTCATCACCATAATTTTGCATCAGACCAGCACCGCAGGAGAACTAAATCTGTCCTGGAGAGACCTAGAAAATGTCAGTTTTGTTTTATTTTGTAGTCTGACCACATACACTATCAAGTTTGAGGCCTGTGAATGTTTTGAAAGAAGTGTCTTGTGCTCACCAAGGCTGGATTTATTTCATAAAAATACCTTATAAATTGTGAAATATTATTATGATTTAAAATAACTGTTTTCTATTTGAATATATAGTAAAATGTAATTTATTTCTGTGATCAAAGCTGAATTTTCAGCATCATTACTCCAGTCTTCAGTGTCACATGATCTTCAGAACTCATTCTAATATGCTGATTTGCTGCTCAAGAAACATTTCTGATTATTATCAATGTTGAAAACAGTTGTGCTGCTTCATAGTGATTAGTGATTTTTTGATGAATAGAAAGTTCAAAAGAACAGCATTTATTTGAAATATTATATAACATTATAAATGTCTTTACTGTCACTTTCGATCAGTTTAATGTGTCCTTGCTTAATAAAAGTATTAATTTCTTTCAAAGGGAAAAAAATTAAATGACTCCAGTCATATCTGTGGCCTAGTAAAAACCGTTTCATTCTAGCTGGTAATGAACTGCCTCATGGGTGCCGACATCACATGACCAGCTGAAAAATACTTACTCTATCTCTATAACCCTTGTATTATCAGATGCTTTTGCTCACTGAATAAATGAATGAAGGCTGGCATTGAATCATGCATTTCTACAGTGGCATTGATAGCCAGAAACGACAACTCTCCATATCATATAACTGAGTGCAACTTTTACTGTTTAAATATTATAAGATGTATCAGTTTGTGATATTTATATAGCAGATTACCTGTAGAAGAGGAGCTAGAGTTGGATGAGCCACAGTTATGGTTTGGTTAAATGGCTCAGATGATCAATACAGTATCTGGGAGCTTTCGAGGCCTTCAGCAGGAAGTTGTTATGTTTCATAGATTTATCTCCCTCTTTTTGGGAGGCTGATAGGAAACCGAATAGACAAACATGGGCAGTCTTATCAACACGGATGCTGGAAGCTTCTTGCTCGAGGAAACGGAGCAGACGTGGAGTTGTTGAAGGATTATCAAACAGATGCTTTCCAGGATGCGCTATTAAAAACATGCCGTCATCCGTGATAGAAACAGCTCTTTCTTAAAAACTATACTATGTATTGTGTAGCATGTGTTTTGTATATTAAAGCATTCACATTTTCCGCTTGCATTAAATAGCCAGATGAGCCACTGCATTTGCTAAAATGTGCATTATAGACATTGGGGCACATATATAGTGTATCCGACAGTCTGTGTTATTTCATAATTATATATATTCTATTATAATATGTAATAATATTTTGAATTAGCTTTTGTTTTTATATTTTCAGTTTTCATTTGAAATTAAAGTTTAATCATTTTGTTGTGCTTTTGTATTTTTTTTTTCAGTCTTCATTTGAATTTTAGTTTAAAGTTTACTCATTTTGTGCTTTTGTCATTTTTAGTAGTTTTTGTTTTATATATAATATATACAGTGCCCATAGAAAATCATTATAACCTTTTGAACGAGTGACTTTATTTGTCGTGCAGCCTGAAATCAAAACCCATTCCAAAAAAAATGTATAAATATAGATTAAAAAAATTGGCAGCTAAGTTGGAGTACTAAAATTACTAAAACTGAAATAAAATAAAGCTAAATATAAATAAAAAAAAACCTACTAACTACTATTAAACAAACAAAACTAAAATTCAAATGAAAACTGAAAATATAAAAATAGAAGCTAATTAGAAAATAAAGCTAAATAGAAATATGAAAAACAAAACTAATAAAAATGACAAAAAAGCACAACAAAATTACTAAACTTTTAACTGAAATTTAAATTAATAAAAATGCTAATGAATAATAAATAATAAAAAGCTGATAAAAAAACAAACAAACAAAAAACACTAAAAATGACTGAACTGAAAAACTCCTGATTTAATTCTTCCTAGAGCCACCTTTTGCCTTAATTACAGCCAGCTGAAGATGGACAGGTCATTCACCTTCCAACACAACAATGATCCTGAATATACTACCAAAAGAACAACGTAACGGCTTCAGGATACGAAGGTGAACGTCCTTGAGTGGCCCTGACTAAAATCCCATAGAAAATCTGTGGATGGACTTGAAGAGAGCAGTCCATTGCCGCTCACCACAGACTCTGACTGAACTTGAGCAAGTCTGCAAGGAAGAATGGGCGAATATTCTCCCATCTAGGTGTGCAAAGCTAGTACAGACATGTCCAAAAAGATTACTGGCTGTAATTAAGGCAAAAGGTGGCTCTACAAAGTATTAAATCAGGAGACTGATGACTTTTCCAATCCTGTTATTCCAATTTTTCAGTTTTTTATTCATTTTCAGAGCTTGCCTTTTTCTTTCATTAGTTTGCTGTTGTAAGGCAAATTTGTAAATAAAGCTGGAAAAGTTTTTTTTCGGATTGGGCTTTGATTTCAGGCTGTACGACAGATAAACTCTTTTAAAGGGGTATGATGATTTTCTGTAGGCACTGTATTATTATATTTTAAATATTTAAATATATTTTAAATATATTTTCGAATTTTAAGTAATTTTATGTACCTGTCATTTTTAGTGTTTTTGTTAGTTTTTTATTATTATTAATTAGAATTTTTTAATTAAATTTTAGTTAAAAGTTTAGTAATTTTGTTGTGCTTTTTGTCATTTTTAGTATTTTTTTATTTTTCTATGTAGCTTTATTTTCTAATGAGCTTTTATTTTATATTTTTTGAGTTTTCATTTGTATTTGAGTAATTTTATGACATTTTGTTTGTTTAGTAGTAGTTACTAGTCGTTTTATTTCTATTTAGCTTTATTTTATTTCAGTTTTAGTTATTTTAGTACTCCAGCTTAGTTGCTGTTTTTATCTATATTTATATTTTATTTCAGCTTTCATTTTAGTTTAGGTTAACAAAAACAACACTGCCCACAATGCAGTGCAAAGTCAAAGAGGCTTTTGGATTGATTTAGTGTTTTTTTTGTTCTTAATCCCAGTAATGCCGAAAACAGCTTTGACTGTCAAAAGTGCTGCTTTTCAATCCTCTCTGACCGTTATTAAATTATATTTGTACAGAGCTAAACATTTTAACAGATTATGCTGGTTTAGCGTACATTCTGACATGATTAGACTAGTTAGTTTAATGCACAATATGTTATTTTTGATTATACAAACAAATGAACAGCTATCCACACGATTTGAGGTGCCATTCAAGGCTTTGTTCAAATCACTAACCCCAAGTATGATGCTTTACAAACACCTCTGATAATGTTTAAGGGAACTGACATTGATTATTCAACATTAGATAAACAGGTCACATGCATTACTGTAGGTTTAATTCGATTACAGCCATCCACATAGGATCTAAAAGCTTTATTAATCAAACAATAACCTACAAGACCTCAAACCGGCTTCATTTGATTAAACGGTACTCATTGTGGGTGCCAATTACTCGAGTGTATTTGTTGTACCATTTGATTGACAGATGTGCCGACCAATCAGAATCCCAGAGCTTTGTATTGTCGTGGCTTTGATCTCTGTTCACTATAATCTTTGCTAATCCACATTGTCCGGACTGTGTTATGAGTAGTGATCGACCAATATTGTTTTTTTGACAGCCGATGCCGATATCTTGGAAAGCATGGTGGCCGATGGCCGATATAATTCTATTTATTTTAATTAATATTTAAGAAATTTGAAATAATTTGAAAATGGATTAAAATATAAATGTGTTAAATAAAAATACTTATACTTTAGATGACAAAGTATTTTTCACAAATAAATAAATATTTTATAAAAATATAATTTAAAAAGGACGTAAACACTGTAAACAACAGGGCACTCAGTATTCTGGGAAGTTTGTGTGCATTGGGAATCATATTTTTTCATTAGTCATTCAAAGATTAGTTTAAATGATATAAATGCGTATTTGCTGAATGCTGACGGCAAACAAGAAAGTATTATAATGATTTCCTTTCTATTACTAATAATATTATTAGACAGACTTCAATCCGTATTAGACAGAACTGTTAAGCGAACAAGAGGGAGAAAGTGAGCACTGTGTGCTTATTCCCAGCACCATCAAAATAAAAGTCCTGCCTCGAACGCATCAGCCAAATAGGAAAACTTAGCGGCCGATGCCGATATTTGAAAAAATATCGGTCGACCACTAGTTATGAGTGTGTGTGTGTGTGTGTGTGTTTGGCTCGTCTAACCCTCCCTGGTTTTGTTCTGCTGTCTTTCTTGCTCTGTTCAGTTGGATTTTGTTGCCGGTGTCTTATGTGTCATTATGTTTGTCATTTTTAACTAATGCTGCTTTTCTTTTTTCCCTGTTTGTCTTTTTTGTCTTTTTTTCATGCCATCTGTCTGTCTGCTGCCAACATGTCCCAACGCACAAAATCCAACCAACACCAAAACCAACACTGCCTGGCGGACCCTCACTGTGTGTGTGTCTGTCTGTGACGTGTGTTGTGTGTGTGTTCAGCATCATGCAGAGAGCAGAGAAAACCCTGTCACCACAGGTAAGAGGCTGACATTCACCTGTGTGTGTGTGTGTGTGTGTGTGTGTGTGTGTGTCTGTCATCTTTGCTCCTGCGTGTCAAAGTCAAAGGCACTATGTTCAGAAATGGGATACTTAACATTATATTCTATATACAGCTGTTTTAATAGTATGTGGAACAGAATCCAACAATAAATGTTTCATTCTGTTCAAACTGTATTGTTTGCTATAGTCACTTGAACTTGCTATAATACATATTTTACAATACATATTTTAATTCAGCGATTTGTGTCCAGTTATCATCTTGGAAATAAATTGTAAATAATAAAATAAAAAAATAAAATAAATAAAATAATAAAAAATAAAATAATTGCCAGCATGACTGTAAATGAAACATAATTTTTTGACACTAAATTTATATATTTATATTTATAAAGGTATATATAATTTATTATGCATATAAATTTCATCAATGTACATTTTTATAATGTTTATGGCAGCATGATTGGAAATAAAAGATGATATTTTTGGAAATACATTTATATATAATTTATTTTACATAATTTTGTCAATATACATTTTTATAATGTTTATATGTGGCAGCAAGATTGGATATCAAACAAAATGTTTGGAAAAAAAATTATATGAAATGTATACATTTATATGTAATTTATTATACATAATTATAATGTAAAAATCAATCATTATACATTTTATCACATTATATGTTTGTTATATATACACACACATATACATATATATATATATATATATATATATATACATATATACAGTGGGTATAGAAACACAATTTGAGATTTCTAACGTGGCTGTTTGGTTAATTGGCTCATTAGTAATTAGTTTCTTCACAGCCTAAGTGATGAGGATGAAATATTCATATTGCATCTCAAACGAGCATCTCTAATGAATGATTAGCATAAAGTGATTAAACTCTGTCGCTTCAGCTTCTCCTTTATTTGCTTTTGCATCACAATAAGCAGCCAACCTGTGTGTGTGTGTGTGTGTGTGTGTGTTTTTACATGCTGTTATACACGTATAGCAATACAAGCTCACACAGACACATGCATATATTCACTAGAAGCGTGTTATTTCACCCAACACGTTTTATGCTGCATCATTGTGCAGAGTTTCTCATGCATTTAATTTTCTCAGCTACAGACATGCACGCACACAATCAAAAGTGATGTATGTAATACTGTTGCAGTGCTGTAAGGTTGTGTGTGATGCTGATGAGATTAGATTTGAAGTAGTCATGTTAAACACTCACTTTAATCTGTTTTTAAAAACTGTTTTTAAAAACAGAAAATAAATAGTAGTATTACAGATTTAAGTGTTATGTAGTATTACAGTTTTTACTCAATACCATGTGATGATTTTATCTGTTTTTATTTTGTGTGTTGGCCACTAGAGGGAGCACTTTACAACAATTTGTGCATCAATTAAAGTTTGGTGGAAGCTCCTCAGCGAAAAAGTCTTTATGGTGTATCTGACTCCAATCCATTTAGTTTTTTTATCTTCTGAAATCAATAGAAAAAATGTACAAACCCAATCCAAACCACATCCATATGTGGTTTTAAATCTAAGGTAAGATACCCCAGATGAATAGGCTAAAAAATGTAAGTAAAATATTACCATACTTTGCCAGTTGATTGACTATATTGATAGATTATATAAGAATTGCAAACATTTTTTTTGCATTACAAGTTTTCTGAAATGATGCATTATCTAATTAAACATTTACTAAATGCATAAAATTCCAGAAAATAAATCTGTATGGATAAAGTCAGGTTCAAAATCCTTGTTTCATTTTATCGACATTTTAGAGTTTTGTTTTTTTTACAGCAGAAGTGCTGCTGAAGTGGAGATAAAAACTCATTTTGAGAAACGGCCTTTAAAGATATGTATCGTAATTGAAATATACAGATGCAAATAGATAAAGTGCAATACAATAAACATTGGGTTTTTCTTATCACTATTCTGAAAAACACGTTATGAAAAGCCAAACAGATAAATATCTCAAAATTGACCAGCGTATGAGAAATTTGAATCAATCAGATTCGGTCTTTGTTATTTTTCCACAGCTGCCTTAATGCCTGGTGATGATGCTGCACTTCTGACCCCAGGAAGGATGAGCCAGCGTGGCAAGGAGGCGGGGCTGCACACGCCCAGTAAAGACCTGCTCACAAGCCCCTCCCTCAGCCCCGGCGTCAGCTACAGCCACGGTAAGAGAACAGCAGCGCAACATGCGTGCAGGAGTTTCTCCCACAAGCTTCTGTGGCCTCAAGGATCCCAGATTAGGATGTAAGGCCCTAATCTGCATGAAGGAAATCTGATCCCAGACCAGTGCAGTTTACATCAGGTACATCAGTAGAAATGTGGTCTGAGCGGTGGAAAATGTTATTAGATTGAGCTGAAAGGTTTCGAAAACAACACTTCTGTCTTTAAAAAATAAATCAGGAGCAATGTGATCAGAAGCCTTATTAAGTAAGTAAAGAGGATTGATTTTGATTTCAGTGTTGACACAGTGACCAGTTTTTCCCCGTGTAGTGTTGGTTTTCACCACTAGAGGCCGCTGAAGTGTCATGAAATCAGACCACAGCAGAGTTTGTCCAAGAATCTCTTGCATTGTTTTGCTTGTAGTTAACATGAATCCGACTGTCCTGGGTTCCCACAAACATGGAAGACTTTGAAGGAATTTTAAAATTACGATTTGGAATTGTCACACAAATATTCTATAGTGAATAATTTTTCTTTGACTTATTTTATTATTATTTTATTTGAATAATTCTTTGAATTTATTTATTTGATTATGTTAATCTGTTGATTTGAGTGATTGAGAGCTGGCATACAAATAGAAACTGATCCAAGCAATCTCTGTAATGAAGCATGAGCTACTATATTTATTGGAATATTATTTAGATTATTTTATTATTTGTTGTTGTGCTACTTAATACATTTAAAATGTAATTTTCAAACTTTAGTCATAAATATTATTTTAATAATTTTAACTCATTTAATAATTTTACAATAATAATTATTAATTTGATATAAACACACACACACACACACACACAGAAAAACAAAACAAGAAAAATATATATATATTTTTTTTTTCTTTTCTCTTTCAAACTTCCTATAAAAAGGTGCCTGAAAATGTGCAGTCAAAGTTCAGTATTGTGCTGTTATATGGAGTGTCCACAATCCCTGTGTTATTTTTACAACCGACTGTGACACACACACACAGACACACACACCAGGCTCGCAACTTAAAGTTGTCAGAGGATTCGGCTTTATAATGATGATTTTAATCTGATTAAATGCACCACGTTCCTGTTTTTAGAGCTTGTCGTGGTCCCTGATTTAAGCACTCATGTTTTGAGCATCATACGAGTGGCGTAAGACTTGTTTTCAATTGTTCTGCAAGGCTAGACGCTGACACACGTGATCACCTCTGCACAAAACCGCTGCTAGTCGAAACCTTTCAAAGCCTTCGGACCTCTTGCATCTCGTCAGGTCTCCATAGCAACAGCAATTTCCCCTCGCCATCGCTTTGAAAGCACATTCACCCTTTCTTTTTAGTCTCGGGTGAATCACTCCGTTTGGGTGTGTTCTGATCCTCAGAGCTGTATAAAAGAAAGTTTCTTTGCAAGTTCATCTCGCAGATGTGGGCCACCTTTCTCTCAATTATTCAGTGCTAGCAGTGGCAACCCGAAACGAGATGCGCCGCAGCTTTCTCCCGGTGAGAACACACCCGGAATAGCATCAGTACAGCAACCGATATGCACTCAAATCCTCTTTACTGGCCTCCTCGCTCTGTTTGAGACAAGAGCAGGTGTGGTTGGCCTGGATTTAATGGATTACATTCAGTAAATGGGGTTAAAATGCACAGCGTGCAGCTCAGCCAATCAGAAGCTGCTTAACCTACATGTTTCATCGCTGCGGCCAATCAGATGCAGGGTCATTTGCATATGGGAGCTCGGGTGTGAGCATGCTGTTCAAATATCGTCCAATGTTTGGGAATGTTATGGCGGTTTTGTGGGCTAATGAATGTTTGATTGTGAATGGAGAGGGTTGGACGTAAACCTTCTGAATGCATGAGTGTGGCGGTTAATTAATTAATCTTCCTGCACACAAGGCAAGTACTTAGACTAGTACTCTAATGCTTAGTTAGTGCATGTTTAGCATATAATTTTTTAGTTGCTTCACCTGCAATAGTATCTGGTGAGAACAGAATTCAAGTGATATTGTACATTAAATTAAACTCGTTAAAATGGTCAATTGTAGCTGTTTTGTGTGGAATCGTATCATTAAAAGTAATTTCCTAAAGGCCTGATGGATTATTCAACCTAGAAGATGCCTTGAGATGGGTTCCTTGAGGATACTGGTTGTTTGGGCGGTTTGTTTAGTAGCGTTAAATGTGCTCTGAGGTCTGACTCATTAAAGCTTATTCTTTGGGCTGCTAATCCAGGCTCATAGCCAGGTTGCATAAGGTTCCTAGTGGCTTCCTAAACCCACCTTTAGTGCATTGACCAGGTCTCAAGCGCATTGTGCCTGAAAGCATCTTATCTGCTGCTTTTGCTTATATTTTATCACTCACTTGGAGTCTTATATTTGAGCTTCTTCAATCATCTTCATGAGGTGTATCCTGGGATGCTTTTTAAATAGTATTAAAAGATTTCACATGTTTGCTGGACACTTGTTGGCTGCAATTTTGGTTTTGTAAATAAATTCGTAATAAGGCACAATATATATTTTTGGCGATGCACAAGATATCTGTTCCATTTCTTATGAGTTGACATTCAAGAAATTAATTTATCAGTATCGATATTGCATATATCAGCTGATAATAGATAATTGTGAATGCTCTTGTTCCCTATTTATTCATTTAGATGACCTTTGCTGTCATCTAAGGCTCACTTAAAGTGATTCTTTAACATTAAACATTAATCATTTAATAATAATATTAAGTGTAATCTATAGCAAATCTCAAAATATATTTTTTCATACAGTACATTATAATATTGTGATGCCTCAAGTTATTTATAGCATTTAAGATGATTCATTTTAGTTTTTAGTGTTTTTTTATTTAAGTATTTTGATAAAATTAGATAGTATTTTAATATGGGCCAGTTATTGTTTATGATATTACATTAATTTATACATTAGACCATACATTTTTAGGTATGTACAATATATCCATTGGTTATGAGTTCATATTCAAGGAAGTATTTTAATTTATCAGTATCGATATTGCATATATCAGCTGATATTAGATAACTGCATGCTCTTTTTTTATACATTTAGATTTGCTGTCATCTAAAGCTCACTTAAAGTGAATCTTATTCATATATAATTTAATAATAATATTAGATGTCATCTATAGCAAATCTAAAAATATAATTATTTTATACTGTACATTCTAATGTTGTGAAAGTAGACAATTTAAACGATAGATGTTACAGGTATGTGCCACAAGCACAGTTATACGATTCTCTGAATCATCTTTGTGAGCAGTACAGTGGTCTGGATCATTAACCGCTTGGCTACTGACTCTACACTAGTTCAGTTTAACCTGCTGGGTTACTCATTTGGTTGAGTGGGAAACAGTTCAAACCGTAACTGTGTGGAGATCAGTTTCACACGAGGGATGCCCACACTGGCTCAGGTTACTACAAACACGCTCTCGCTCACTCAGAGATACTGTTGCAGGGGATGAAGCACAGAGAACTGAGCAAATGAGCAGCGGACACTCATTTACAAGAAACAAACAAAAGGATAAAGTTTCTATGAATGAAGCACAAAACAAGAGACAAAGCCTTCAAGAATTAAAGGAACAGACTGCACTTGAGTACAAAGCAGGTTGCTTTTTATGGAAAAGATTAACATGCTGGTGACCTCGGGTGTTTTTCCACATAGTTTATGTATGTGTGTGTGTGTGTGTGGGTCAGATGGTCAGACAGACAGATAGATAGCTCAGTCTGGTTTTGCGCGAGATGTCTTGTTTTATCTCTTTTAATCAAGGTCTCAGGTTGTTAAATGCTTCATATATGAAGCACTGGATAATGAGCAGTAGGCTTTGAATTATATACCCGCCAGAGCATCTTAATTAGTTATGTTAATTAGGGCATCATTCACAGCCATCCTGCAGTCTCATCCGTTCACTGCTCCTGCTTCGTTTTGGAGAGGCTGTTGCCTAGCAACTTCAGAGCGACATCAGCAGAGTCCGGGAGGAACGTTCTGATTGGTTACGATGCCCGGCGTGAATTCTGATTGGATGGAGAAAAGAGGAATTTGGAGTGTTTAAAAGCTGCTTGAACTATTTTAACCTTTAGCTTGATTCCTCTGGAGCTCTTCTCCAGTTCATTGACCAAAAACAGGCTGAATTTACGCAAGTCGTACCAAGAAACAGGCAGCGCTTTGCTCGAAGTCCCAGCGGTCTGCACAGCCTCTTCCTGTGAGTTACTTGTTGACATTTCACTCCAAACAAACAGCTTCTAAACTGACTTGAAGGAGATCAGTTTTCCGACTAAACGCTCTCTTGGAGATGCATTGCTTGTTAGTGCTGTTTTGCTTACTACTATTGCATATTACAATCGCTCATAGTTAAGTTCAGGGATTCAAACTGCAATTTCCATTGCGTCACTGAATGCATTATGCAGATTTTGACCCTTATGCATATGTGTATTTAATTAGTGCTGTTTGTAAAGTTAAGTGATTTGATTTTAGACTTCAGCATGTGGTGGTTCTTGTTGTCTGTTACTTTAAGTCAATGCTGTTTGATTTGGCTTTGTAACATACAGTGTAAACCTGGTTACTGTAAGTCATATCAGAGTTTTATGAAAGATGGATCTTCACGCAGCTGGACTTTCTCCTAAAAGCCTTTGCAGTGTCAGATTTGGCAGTTCACAGTGTGATCAGGTTGCATGTGTGTCTGTATCCAGAGATGCTGATGGCTTGATTCTGTTTTCACCAGCGCTGTTTGAGAAGCAGGCGTGTGTGTGAGGTTTAGATATTCAGCTACAGTGTCCTTCATAAAGCATTCTCTGTGAGCGAGCTGAGAGAGAGAGAGAGACAGAAAGAGAAAATCAGATCTGAGTCATGGGCGCAAAAATACAGACACATGCAGTGATTCACAAACAGTCATAAAGTAAATCTGACAAAAACGTATTCATGTTTTTATGGGTAAGTCATAGTTCAGAGTATATTTTGCATAATGCCATCA